GCTGCTACATTGCCCTTGATTGAGCCCCACCAGTCATCCTACAACCTTCTTTCCATTGATTTTAGTTCACTTGTTGTTCCCTTGTCCCTGGGTTGGTCCCACCCCACTACCTTTCTCCCAACTCCCCTTTTCCCATAACCCGGCCCCCCCAAAACCAACAAAACTATAACAGCAGGAAGCAAGAACAAAATAACGATAACAAAAAGAATGCCACTGACAAAAATGGAAAAGCCTATAAATAGCTCATGGTCTCTTTGTTGGCCTTTATGAGTGCTTTCCAGTCAAGTCTGATGGGGTGCGACACCGTCTTCCAAGTCTATTTTTGGTATTCCTCGGGGGTTTCCCCAGACTGTGTACTATTACCACACTGTGTCTCCAGTGCTGTCCCCCGCAGCGTCATGGTTCAGTGAGGGATGCCGTGTCCCATGGTGGGGCCAGCCCTATGGTCCTCCCCATGCGCTGTCTGCTCCAAACAGGAACATTGTCCTTGGGGTTTGGTGGATCAGGATGTCTACGCCTCCCTCTCCATCCCTTTACGTTTCTCCCGTGTGCTCTAATTCTGATGTGCCCCTCTCCCCAAGCTGTAGCCCCAGTGCTGTCCTCTGAAGCACATTCTTCTGGGGGTGGGGGTGGGGTCCACATAGTCTGGATTGGGGCTGGCCCTGCAGACCTCTCTATTGGGTCCCTGGTACATGCCAATATGTTGAATTCACTTCTTGGTGCATTGGGTTGAAGGCTGGTCTCTCTCTCCTTCTCCTGTGGAGATATAAACAATACCCTCCCCTTGGGTGGATTAGTGCCCTGCTTCCCCCCACCCATGTCCTTCTCTCTCTCTCTCTCTCTCTCTCTCTCTCTCTCTCTCTCTCTCGGATTCTTTTAAAGTTCATCAACTATTTTGTAGAAAGTGGAATAGTGCCGTCAATGTGACAGTCATTGTAGGATGGTACCCAATCTCTGAAAATTTGAGATCCAGTTAAACTCTGTCAATGATTGATGTTTGATTTGGGGCAGGATGCCTTGTAGGAAGGCCTCCTACTTCTGTTTGTGCAAAATTCATTATGCTAATAAAGGGGCAAGATGGGGAAATCCCACCTTTATTGTTGACTGTGTGGTAAGGATCAGCATGAATCCAGTCCCCACCTGGAAATGCATTTCATCTTTACTTTTCCATATCTCCATCATCCTCAACACTGGCCACCCACATGATACTCTCTCTGACCCTAACCACACCGAGTTAGGTCAGACCTTGCAAGTTAGAAGAACCCTGTTCTTCTAATCAACCACCCCTGCAGTCTTTCTCTGTCCCCCAGCCACTCAGAGCAGTGACAAGAACTGTGCCAAGAACAAGTGACAAGAACTGCCATTTCAGCTGCCACACAGGTACAGCAACCCCTGCTGGCAGACCGCCCCCTGTCGGTTTGTTCATTCTCTGGGACAGCTCACAGAATTTATTGAGACAATTGCCACGTTCACTGTGATCTGTTTAGTATAGCCCCAAAGTATTAAAAACCAAAGAGATGCATCCAGCAAGATTTGCTAGGGGTCCTGGCATATAGTTCCCATGGTTCCCAGGACCATGTTATCCTCTGGCATGCAGGGATGGTCTTGCTAACACATGGAGTCCGTTGAATTTCCATGTTCAAGGCTTTTGCTGGCTTCATTGCGTAGTCATGATCAGGGCCTCATTGCATAATCATGCCTGCTGCAGTCACTGAATATGCACGCCTGTGTTATGCTCCTCTGCTGTCTATTGCCAGGTGGGGTCTCTGGAGCCCCTACTTCTTTGTACACATTCTCAGGTGCTGTCCAGAGGTTGTAGGTCATGAAGGCACCTCAATTGCCTGAGAATTTTAAGAGCTCTTTTTAAGAAACTAAAGACCAAGCCCAAAGCTAATTCTTTGCATCACAATCATACAATAGCTGGCCTTTTGTCACAAGAGGTCCGTTTAGAAATAAATTAGAAATGAAAAGCTTCCCTGGTCCTGGGACTAGAAGAACTGGATGGTACCCCGCTACCACCACCTACTGTTCTCACAAGGATCCCCTTATCAGGTGCTGGGTAGAGTGAGAGGAAACTGTGGAGCAGATTTTAAACTCCTAAAATTACAGACTACATTTGCTTAGGGGGCACCGAGCTTATGTTAATGGTGGTGGAATGATTTGGAAAAGGATGTCAATAATGGTTGTACAACACAGAATATAATGAAAGGCCCTGAAGTATACATGTAGAAGTTGTGGAACTGGAGAATGTTTTGTTGTGTATAATTTTTGCCACAATTAAAAAATAATAATTACAGGAATAACAATGAGTACAAAGAAGAAGAAAATGGATTGTGGTGATAATTGTACAACTCTTCCTGATATTATTGACCTGTTGAATTGTATGATATGTGGATGAAGTGCCAATAAAACTGATTTTAAAAATATAGACTTATACAGTGAATGATAACCCTTGG